TTTAAGTCATAAAATGCAACGTCTAAATCAAATATTGACTATTATATTGACAGTTCTGAACGAGAACATATTTTGGTGGATTATGGTGAGTAATTTTTATACATTTGTAAATGTTTGCCTATCCTACTGTAACAACTATTGCATGCCACTGCAAGTTGATTAATATTTTGGAGTTTTTTGTTGGGCTAAAAGTATGTTGATTGAACCTCAAGTGATGTCCAAATGCAGATGTGTCCGGCTTCTTGATATGCTCGCCTATCCAGACTCCCAAAGATCTGCAGGTTTTGCCAATATAACGGCAAGACTTGCAGATCAAAAATCTAAATAAGAAAACATCACCAGGATACGATCTTAAAAAAAATAATTATTTAAATAACTAACTACCCGAAGAAGCAATAAATCTAACGATGTATAAATTTAATGATATTCTAAAACTGGGTCAATGAAAGGTAGCTCAAATATTTGTAATCCCAAAACCTAACAAAGATTCCAGACACATTCATCAAACCGTCCAATAAGCCTACCATTAGCTATCTAATGTATTTGAAAATATCTTTCTAAAAAGAGTACATATCGTAAACAATCTCTTACTAGATTACGAATTCACATTTCGAAAAAAACATGGCCCTCTTGAACAGGTCCATAGAGATGCATTCTAAAACAAGAAGTAGGCTTTTTTCGACATCTCTCAGCCTTTGATTAGGTTTGGTATTAAGTCCTAATATCAAAACTTAAGATACAAATGCCTTATCTAATATGTATGCTCAGACAATCATATTTGACGTGCACATTATTTCAAACAAAAATGGGGGAGGCAATGTGGTCACCTTAAGATGGATCAAAGATCACGCCACATCGAAAGGTAACCGTCTTGCTGATTCACTAGCCAAGAAAGCAGCCAACCAAATACGTTTTGGACCTGGCCGTTTTATTCTCCTGACAAAATCGGTAGTGACAGACCTAATTAAAGAACATTCCCTTGTGGGATAGGATGAAACAAGACACTGCAGAATTGCCAGGGGGCTCTTAAGTTATCCTGACAACACTGCAGCAAACAAATACTTGACTATGACTACACAGAATCTGCGCCTAGTCGCAGGCATTCTAACTGATCATTGCCAAGTACGAAAGCATCTCCATATAAGATAAACCCACGCGCATGCGATCAGCCCATCTGTCTCGCACGCCTGACGTCACTGGGAGACATTACCGATTATTTAATTTATTTGTTTCTTTGGTTTGTTGTGTTTTAGAAGTAAACGTGCGTAAAGCTTTTTATATGTTATATTTACAAACATTGTTTTAAACATTTACTATGGTATACTGTGCAGTGGTGGGTTGTTCAAACAACAACAAAAAAAGCAATTTTTACCCCTCCATTTTTACATTCATCCGTAATTTTTATAAAAATATTAAATTGATTGTAAAATGAAAATGTCTATACTTTAAAAGCTCTAAAATAGGATTAACTCGAATTTTTTTTTAATTATTTTAAATTTTTACCACTCCCATATTTATTTTTTTTTCTAATTATCTATTAAAATATTAAACGGATTATAAAATCAAAATATCCATAGCCAAAAACCTATAAAACGATATATTAAAAAAAATTATTTAATAGGTATATCAGTACTTCGAAGATAAACTGTGCTGTCATTCTAGTCAGCTTTATAGTAGAGTAGACTGAATGTTGGTTGGACATTTTTCGTGTTTCATATTTACATATTATATTTCAACAAAAAATTCAGTTGGCCCAATTATTGTCACAATATGTATTGTTTACTAATAATCTATTAAAACTTTTTTTAACATACATGAATTTACATGAATTGTTGGATTTTGTAACATATTTCTATGTTCTGATAACAAATTTTTTAAGACATACCTAGTGTCTTTTACCTCCAACATGCCTCTATAAACAGTACGACTAACGTGAGAGTTAAATAGTGTTGTTAAACGTTTAACTTGTAAGTTCATTAAACATTGAACAAGGCATTATCTTTTTTTAAATCAACTTATAATGTGACATCACTATACATGGTATAGAATACCACTGAAATGGTCTCTTATTCAACTGATGTTCCTAACAGATCCATGCTTATACACAGAACATAATACTGACTGATATTTCTCATTGGCTAACATCACAACGATTTACAGCTGCTTTTCTTTTCTGTAGCTACATTTACTCTAAAGAAAAGCATGCTATAAAATATTAACAGTAGTTCTGAAAGTACTGCAAAAAGTCAGAAAAACTGTCTATTGTCCTAAAGGATATAAATATGTAAAAACTTTTGACCTTGCCATTTCTCACCAGAAGACAATCAGAAAATGGTGTATGAAAGATTTCGAACAGTGCGAACCAGGTCTTTCAGCCATTTATTTTGCTATAATAGCTTCTAAAGCCCAAGAAGCTAAATAAAACGATACTGCCATTTGTGTGGATAGAATGCTTCTGCTGAGCTAGTCTTTGAAGTGTTAGTTTCGATAGTGGTGTGTTTAAGAAGATTTTGATAATTGCCAATAAAATACATTTTATTTCATCTCTACATGAAACAGAAAAAGCAAACATTGCTGGAAAAGTTTCGGTAAGGTTATCCCAAATAAATATGACTGCTGTCTCAGTGACATGTAATGAACCCTCAACTAATTTCACAATGTTTAAGAAATTTGAACGTGGTTTCGGTAAGGTACACAACCTAAAAAGATTTACTACTACTTTACTTATTATTAGTAATTGATTCTCGTATTTGCAAAGGATTTAATAATATTCTAATTCTAATAACAATAATATTTAATTCTGGTATAATATAAGTGTATAACTTTTGATAAGAAATAAATATTTCAACGAAATTTCTGCCCATTTCTCTTAAAATGATTATCGACATTTTGCGATAAACACCTCCCAACATAAATATTGACGTATAAAAACTTGTTTTCCACCTATTGTTATCCCGTGTATATTAAACAGAAATTTTTCTCGCTTCACATTTATTTTCTCTCAAACCGAATTTTCTCCGCCTTCCTTCCCAATTTCCGTGGAAATGCTTTCCTGAAAATTCATGAGAGGCTGTACTCCCCTGTGAAAAAGTATGAGATCCATCATCTTTTTTTGGAATTTCGTATCCGACAGTTATATGGCTAGAGCATTACAATCGTTTTAAGGCGCTACAAAGTAGTCTAGGAGTAGATATTGGTTTATGGAATATTTAAAAGCGAATTGGGAAATTCTGACAAAAATCAGAAGCGACTGGTAACCCTAAAATTCTATAGAAAAATAAAGAATGGATCTCGAAATCAATACCACAATATTTTAATAAATAAATACGATGAAATTAGTTTTGCACTTTACATACCATCTTTAGGTAAAAGTAAAGATGGTTGGCCCAACTCCACAAAACATGATATTTGTGAATTTATCTCAGGGCAAATTAAAATTTTGTTTAAAATATAATATTTTTAATTTGTTTAAATGTTTATGGAAATATTAGAAGACCAGCGTGGCTATTTTTAAAGAGTATATCGAAATTGTTTTATTTGTAAAATGATTTGTATTTGGCAAAATACATGATGGAGACAACTTAAGTTGAATAATCGATTTATCGGCTATAATAAAACCAAGACAGGCTTTATAAGACAAATGGTAATATCTGACGTTGCTAAGAAGCCGATTTTGACGTTTTAGTTAACTTTCTTACATTGGTGTTGTTGTTAACAACTAAAAATGGCTCGTGGTAAAGCTGTTTCTGAAAAATAAGAAAAGTGATCATTCACTTGCATTTGAAGGGCCAAATTGCTTCCCAAATCACTGACAGTGTTAATAAATCGATATATACAGTTCTAAATATTATTACACTGTACAAAATAACTGGATCTTTGGCTCCAAAACCGAAAACTGGAAGTCATCTGCAATATTTCAATGCCAACTTAAGAGCTTTAAAAAAGATAATCAAGCAAAATCAGCGTGTTTATTATAACGAACTGAGAATGATATGGAATCAGGCAACGGTTAAAACATATTCAAAAACAATTTGTTACAGATCTGCTAAATTATTGGGATTTAAAACTTACAAGGTATGTCTCCGAACCAGTGAAACTCCATTATTTAGAGGTATGAAGCCAGATTTGAAGTATGCATTGGTGATAGTAGGAGTCGTGTCATAAAAACAAAAGAATGACTTAGAGTGTCTTAGAAAGAAAGTTAAGTTTCCGGCTTATGTTATAATTTGGGGAGCCATGTGAGCTAAAGGAGTGGAAGGTATTATAAATGCTGATAATTACATTAATGTGCTTCAAAATAACTTAAAACCCCAAATTGAACAAATACGTTAAAATAATATCGAATGTATTATGCAACAAGTTGGTGCCGCTTGTCACACGGTTAAAAAATAAAAGAATGGAAAACAATATTCCTTTTTTAAAATAGTCGTCCAGTAGCCCAGATCTATCGCCTATTGAAACGTTGTGGCATATTATGAAAAAAAGCTCCATCAAATCCCGCAAGAACCGTTTCAGAATTACGAACCCGTCTTTAAGAAATTTTGGACAGTTTTACGTCAGATGACTGCCAAACATTAGTTGACACTATGTCAAAGTATATCGAATTACTAATCAGTCGAAAAGGCGATGTATTGCAGTGGTAATCTTTTATTTGGTTTCGTAAATTTTTAATCGACACCTTTTTTAATTTATCTGATTTTTTTCTGTTACAAAAAAATGTATTTTAGGCTAAAATTGAATAACCATATCATATGTTATCAGAAATATTACAGTTAGTAGTATGTTTTTCGATAATATGACAAATTTCTTTAAAAACATGGTTTTTGATAGTTGGGCTAAGAAAATTTTTAGAAGTAGTTGGTACTCCTGATTTTTATAAACCAATAAAAAAAAATTCTTCAAACAGTTCAACGCACAGGCGTTAAAGTAGCTGCCGTTGATAAGAAAAAAACTTTCCAAAATGGTCGAGAATTTTTGCAGAAAATTTTGGCAGAAAAATAATGGGAAGAAATATTAAATATAAAGATATTTTCAAAGATGAATTGACGACTTATCCAATGTCACTGGCACCTACAGGCATATTATCTACCACTTCAAACAAGTCTAACTTAGAAAATATTATAAAAAAATTTACTAGAAGTTGCAATGATTTACCATCGAGAAATTTTGGTAAAATTTGCCACGTATTCGATGGAATGACATTAATACAGAGAGTTGGCAAACCTACTAACGCCAAATCGTTTGAAGAATATGCAAACATCTTTAAGAACAAATACAATGCCGAAAGAATTGATTTTGTCCTGGAACATTATGAAGATTTGTTGATAAAGAATTGCACAAGAGAGAAGAGGGGACATAAAAATGACGCCATAGAGAGAGCCATTGAAAGCTCAGACACATTATTACCTCAATAGTGGCATTTATTTATCCATATGATTGCTAATAAAATGCAACTTGCCAACTTCGTGGGTAATCGGTTGTATGAATATTCGCTTAATTTCTTGATGTTCTGCGGTATAAAGCAAACTATGATTTAGAAACTGACTTGTTAATTGCGAAACACGAAGAGGCAGACACAAGCAGTAGCGGCTGGTGGGGTGGTTCACAGTGACAGAATATAGGTATCAGTACAGATGTATGAAACAACTTTTAGTGTTTTAGAAAGTTTATAATATACCTTTCTAAAACACTGACAGTTTTTTACTTATATCTGAACCAGCATCTATATTCTGCTACTGTGAACCCCCAAAATTTTGGTCACGAGCGCCCCTGGACACAAGTATTATATTGCATATATTTTCTGCTAAAATGGAAGGATGTTTTGTTACTATTGGCCCATTTCAAAGACGCCGGAAATTTGGATAAAAGTTGGACGCAAAGAAACCGAAAGATTTATAACAATCCATGAATTGAAAATGTATAGTTCAATAGCAAAATGTCTATCAGCGTTTCATGCACTGACAGGTTGTGATAACACCAGTCAGTTCATACAAATGGGCAAAAAAACATGCTGGAAAATGTTTTTATCACGCCACAATCTACTTATAAATGACAATTTAGAAGAAGAAGATTTTTAATAAAATGGTTGTCGATACCCAGATCATCTTTACCAGATGTATCAGAGTGTGGCTGGAAAATGTTTAATGGAAAACTGGAACCAATTTTAAGTACGAAATCAATACTACCTGAAGACAAGTGCTGTAAATACTTGCAATTGTAAAAAAGGTAAATTATTTAATATTATTATAAGTAAATTATTAATTTAAACATTTTTTATAGATTGCAACGGGAAACAATGTTCCTGCAAGGAAAAATAAATTTTTGCATTGAGTCCTGCAATTGTATGGCTCAAATTACATGTGCAAATAAAGTAAAGAAAGATCTAAAAAACATAAAAGCTTCCCAGAATATGTTATCTGATAGTGAAGAAAATTCCGAGTCTGACTAAATGCTGTAAGCTAATCTTATAAGAATATTAATGAATTATTTATTTATTTATTTACCAATTATTTATTTATTCACAGAAATAGAAGATTCTACTACGGAACACCGACTTCAGCACCTATAATATGTCTAGTTACACGTTATTATCAATTTTTTTATTAAAAAGGTTAAATGTTAATTCGACTATTTTAACGCGAATTTCACCAGAAATGCATGAATTATTGTTACCAGCAATAGTTATTAATAAAGAGATTTTTAAAATGATTATATTTGTGTTTTGGAAATATCTAATTGTTACTAATTATTTATTTAATAAAACTTTTAAAAAATATTTAAAAATACATAAGCTAAAAAAACCACTATAATATTCTTGATGTATCTTTGATTATCACAACGTTACGCCTCGCTATAGTAACAATAGAGAGTTAAAGCAACGCGAGATACGTATGCGTATCTCTCTGACGTAAACGTAAAAATTGACGATACGTTAAACGAGCAATTTGGAAAAAAACAACAGTTAAAGCAAAAGCACTGATGTAAACGTATCTACAACTTTATAACCTTAGGTACTTTTTGATAAAAATTTTGATAGTTAAATTGAGTAAATTATGAATTTAAGGGCTTTACATGGTGATGCAGATTTAGATAATCCTGTATATTACAAATTCTACATAAAGAAAATTTGGAAAATAATTATGTTTTATATGGAAGATTCAATTTTAATAAGGACCGATTCCACCGTTGTGTTAAACGAAGTTTAAAATGACATTTTTACAATTTTTACAATTCTGAATTTCACAAAAATTATAAATTTTGGATTAGGAACGGCCGAATATGCTTAAAAATAATGTACAACCTATTCTATACAATTAAAATTACCCCAAACACTATTCTTTTATGACATTTAGCATAAATCAATGTTTTTTTTGAACTTAGGTTATCTGATGAGTATTTTACACATATTTCTCTCAGATTACCCTTTAGCAAGGACTTATTGTTATTAAAATGTTCACAAATTCCCCTTACAAATTAAGATTCACTTCCTATGTACTAAAATAGACAATTTAATATAAAATTCTACTGCTAATTAATGGTACATCTTCAATGATATCAAATGTGACAAAATGGGCCCCAAAATATTCCAATATGTCTTATGGTGCTATAAGAGCATAATATCACTACTATTTTATCCCTTGCCACCAGAAATTAGTTAGATTTTTATAATTTGAAAAATTTATTCGCATAGTTTCCAAATGTCAAATATTGTAAAAACATCATTCTTTTGATTTACTGGTAAAAATCTCCAACACTACTATGGTTGTCTTTTTATATGTCATGCTGTGAGAAATATATTCAAACTAACAAATTATCACAGTTTCAACTCCTAAATTTCTCCCAGTGAGATAGTCTGTCATGATTCCTTTGAATGAAGATGTTTTCCGTTTCAATTTTAATTCAAAGTCCTTTAATTAATGTTTTGTTTAACTTTTTATGCTTTAAATGTTTTATAATGTTCAAAGTGATTTGTTTTTTAAAATGGTTCATTATATGTGAATTGTTTAAATCCCATATACAGGGTGCAATCATAAAATAATAATAGATATTTTTTTTTTATTAACTTTATTGAATATTATTATGTCTTCTTGATTGTATTTTTATTTTAACACCTTACAATGATTAATTTATTGTAATTGGTACCTTTTGCTGTTTTAAACGAAAAGCCACCTACGAGGCTCAAAATACATACGGGCGACTGTACCATGTAGATACAACAGCGTGCCAAGGAAATTTCAACCATTCCCGTATTTCCGCGTCAGAGAGTGGTCGTCAGGACATGCTTTTACATTTTAGTTTTTTGACGAAACTATTTATTAGATTTTTAATTTCTAAAAATATTTTAATCCTTGATCTTTGCTCTACAACGTTTATAGAAAGTATTTTTTAGTTAGAATTTTCTTTCTTAATTTTTCACTGTGTAAATGATATTGCAATTTTAAAGTTTCAGCGCGAGTCGTTTTATATTGAGGAACTCCATATAAGAGCGCAATGGGCAGATAATTTAAAATTAAAAATTAAAAACTTTCTCTTGGAATTTTAAAACAAAACTTTTGCAGATGAATAAAAATGTGTAGATGTAAATTAAGCAAAAAAAAATACATGATTTAAAACGGTCTAAATAAAAAAATTGAGGAAATCCTCTTTCTGGGTAAATACCATCAATCCTAAAACACGCAGATTTGAATAGTGAAATGAGATTTAAATACACTGACCGGCACAAAAAGAGAATCACTAAAATATTTTCATTAAAATCATAAAATGTATATTTATTTTTGCTTTGGCTTGGATTTGGTAAACGTGTATTATTGTTAAGATTATTTAACACTTATTTAAGGTTGGATCCCTAATAACAAAAGTCATTAACATTGTAATAAAATAAATGAAAAATAAAGTGGCAATATTTAATTAAAACAAATACTCAGATAACCATATAAAATCAGTTATACATGTCAAAAAAATTAAATTAATAACTGTTATTGCCCCCTTTGCCTCGAATACAAGCTTACATACGTCTGTGAATCGCTTCCACCAAGTGTCTTATGCCATTTTGGTCCAACTGTACCCATATGTCAATTAGCATATTTCTAAGTTATTCGCGATCTAAGTTGTCTGACCATCATGACCCAGACATGTTCAATGGGATTTAAGTCGGGGTTCCGGGTTGGCCATTCCATTGTCTCAATACCGACGTCAATAAGATACTCACGTACTGCCCTGACAACATATGGTAGAGCATTATCATGCATAAGTATAAAATTGTTGACAGAGGTGCAAATGGAATGACGTGATCTTGTAAAACTTCTCTTATATACCGATCTGCATTCAATGACCCTCAACAAGCTCCTTGCGGTAGTCCGTAGTGATGCCTCTCCAAACCATTACCAACCCACCATTAAAACTAACCCGTGTAACGATATTGCACTGTCCGTACCTTTCTCCAGTTCTTCTCCATACCCTTTGGCGATCATCAAGTGATCTTAGGCAAAATCTAGACTTGTCAGAAAAGAGCACTTAGCTCTACTGATTTATGTTCTAATGAAGGTGCTCTCGAGCAAATTGAAGACGAGCTACCCGATGCTGTGGGAGAAGTTCTGGGGCATTGGCAGGCCTTCGAGCAATTAAGCCAACTGCATTCAGGCGTCTTCTTACTGTTGTCTCACATACATTTACTTCCCGAACTTTTTCAAGTCGATTTCTTGCTTGAACAGCAGTAGCATCCCGATGTCGAAGAATAAAAATATGTAAAAAACGATCGTCTATAGGCAATGTGGAACTTGTCATGCCCGAACCAGGTCTTCTAGTGTAATTTCCAGTTTCAAGAAAACGCCTATATGTTCTATGGATGTTCGCCTGTGATACTCCAACGCTGACTACGACCATCCTCAATAAGAGCAATGGCGCGAGCAGTATCTGTTGGTAAGAGTGCCATTATTTGAATAAATGTACGTTAATTAATTAAATTTAGGACGAAATAAATTAATACCGAAGTAAAAATAACCCGAAAAATAATTTTAGGCCCTAAGAAAGTGATAAAATGATAAACAAGTTACAAAAAATACGCCAAATATACTTATTAGCAACTTGACAACAAAAAATATCCTTATCAACAACAAAAAATAAAAGATAGATGAAACATTTTAAAAATTATCTGTGATTCTCTTTTTGTACCGGTCAGTGTATATTGGACTCCAAAAAATAATAAAAGCATATTCCAGTTTTGACATGACTAGCGAAGAATAAAGCATATTCATCGTAGAAAAATTACCAAATGATCTCATATTGCGTACAATAAATCCCAAGATTCGATACGCAGAAGCAGTCGTCGTCTTATCAATGTGAGAATTAAAACGAAGTTTACTATAAAAATATACTCCAAGATCATTAATTAATTCTGGTCTGACTAATGTAGTAT